CTCTCTCTCTCTCTACATATATATGCATAGTGCCTGTGTGTGTGTGTTGAAGAAAAAAGGTTGAAGAGCTTTTTAATTTCCTGCTCCAGTCGGCATTCTGGTAATTCAAGTGAACTAATGTATACTATTCTGTTAAAGACAAAGGGAATCTGCACAGATGTTGCTGCTCAAAGGAAAACTGCATATAATAACAGGACAATACTGTAATATGATTAGAAACTGTTTGAAATTGTGATATAAGTTACAGAGTCTTAGAATAGACCTTATAATGATGTATGTAAAATATGTGTGAATGCCATTTTTCCTTCCAAATGTAATGATATTACCCCAATTTTCTGAAAATCAGCAAAAGAGAAATGCAGATATATGTGCGTTTTGTAATGCTCCAGTCGGGGGCCATAATACAATTGTAGAAAAAGAGGGCGCAACAGGACATAGTTAGAAGGCAAACCTCAAATGCAGGAAAAAAATGATGATGAAGACGGTTACAGTCTCCTCATTGCTCCACATGATGCCTGCCGACATTTTTCGTCTCTTTGGTGGAGTGGACACTTCACATATAAAGGACCAGTGGGTAGGATTTAGTGGCATCTAGTGGTAAAGTTGCAGATCACATCTAACTGAACACTGCTTGCATACTGTATTTGATTATGAGAACAGGCTGTGTGTAAAAGAAACTATGGTGGCCTCAAAACTCAAAGGTCTTAATGCCAGTGCTTGGTTTGTCTGTTCTGGGCTACTGTAGAAACATGGCGGTTGAACATGGTGGCCTTCCCGGAAGCCGACCTGTGGTGTCTGTAAATAAAAACGTATCATAATCAAACCATTATTCAGATGATTATAAACACATTATATTCCATTACCCCCAATAGATCAGATGTAGAATGCAGAATAGATGTTACACCCTGGACTTTTAAATCACATGCTTTATGTACTTCATGATTGATTTTGTTTGCTGAATCTATTTCCATTGCACTTTTTGAAATTGCAATATTTATTTTCTTAGTTTTTTTGAATTTTCAGTGTTTCTTCTTAGTTTTTATTTATGCGCAAATTGAAAATGTGCATAAAAACAGGTGGATGGAAACCCACCTACAGATATATGTTTCAATGGAATGATTTAACCTTTAGCTAGTGTGTGAAAGTGTTTGCATTAGCATTTGCATACATGTCATGTGGAATGGAATATAAAAGATTTCTCATGGTTATACCTTGCAAGCAGTCTAGCCTTCGGAAATTCACAATAGAGATTGTCAGTGCCACCAGTGAGTGTTTTACGCACTGAATCAATAGTTATCTTGTGTTGAGCTGCACTTCTATGATGGGCAGAGTTGGACGTAAGGGAGTGTAAAATACTGTGCAGCTCAGACAACCACTTCTTTGGGAAAATCCACTGCTGCACAATGATTTGAATAATTTTTCTTTGACTTTCTAGCTGACTGCATTAAAACATTCGTAGACCTCCTTCGGGGCTTGTTACAAGTGCAATTAATACGCTGAGTAAGGTAACCCTCACCCTGAGGAAGACCTTGCTCGAGTGGCCTTGTGAAGTGAGAGTGCTTGCAGTCAATATTTTACTTTCTAATATTTCATATTTCATTTTCAACATCAGTTCATGTGGAATAAGCACATGTAGATCAGAATAGTTAGCGGGAACAGTAATAGCAACTAACAACTACAATGGAGGAAATGTAGTAAACCATAAACTGAGGTAGAATTAGACAAGGTTGGTTGAGGGAAAGTGGGTTTACCTGAAAGACCCATTCTTAAAAAGTAGTAGAATATGCCTTGAATGAAATAATTAGTTCCTCTTGAAAGTATGAGTGGGGTATTGGGAAATCTCAAAAGCTTGTACAGTGGGTTAGAAGGTCTGGTATAATATACAATCGTTCAGTGCAGAGATGTATACAGATTTGCACAGTGCTTGTATGAGACGTGAAGCATTATCATTGTCAGATGGCGTGCAGCTCTCTGAGGTGAAGGGAAATAAATCACCCACGAACTTCAGTTATTTAAACGGTTGATTGATGGCATGAGTCACCATCAGTGGCATGGTCAGTGCTTCATTTCCCACTGGGGTTACTCAAGGTACTGTAAAGTCCTTGAGATACATTTGTCCAACAGAGAGATAACAACACGTCTCTGCTGTCACATTAATACCTTGTGACTCCAGATTTTGTGTTTTACAGCAAGTTCAGCAACAGGATGATTTGGCTGTGACAAATTACCCGCTCCAAGGCTCATGAAACCTTATCCAAGAATTTAAAAAGTTTAAAATTGGGCCAATAACCACATTTGTTCTGTTTTTAACCTCAATCCCATCAAGGTCAAGGAGGTCTAGAGCACACCTCATTAAGAAAAACTCTATTACAAAATAGTCGCAAGTTGTTAAAGCCTGACCCAAGACTGGACATTATTAAAATCTAAACTTGCTACTGAAAAATGTGTTAATTGTTGTTTTTGTGCATTAATTACTGGTAGATTTTTTGTTAATGATGAGACTATTTGGTTAAATTCAAATAATACCACTGTCAAATTGCAGCTAAAAATAAAATAAAAAAACTACACAGGGACAAAATATTGCAGTAATTCTATTGAAGCAATGACACCTAAATCAAAAGAAGAAAACATGGATGATAATTTGTGGTTATGAAGGAGAAGGCAATAAGAAGGGACTTGACTACAGTCCTTGGAGCCATACAGCAATGCAGTCGATTGATTGAGTTTGTCCAAGAAAATGATGCTGGAAGCTTTGGTCTCTCTGCTATGTCTTTTACTTCCAAGAGACTTAAATAATCCATTAGGAAAACTATTGCATTAGTATTTATTCAAAGCAACCTATGGTATTTTTCCATTTTTCTGACAAGTGATCTCTTGTGGCTGTGTTAATAAGGACCCCGAAGCATGAGGTTGGGGTGGATGGTTGGGCATACAGAGCACCTCACTCAGAAGTTAGAGATTGCTATTTGCATCCCATTTCCTAACTGTCAGCTCTGCTTTCTTACAGCCATGGCAACAATCCTCTCCTAATCATGACCAAGTGGTTTTAGTTGCATGGACCAAACTAAATGGCAAGCACAAAGATGGAAGATCAGAGAACACATATATGAATCTTTTTCTTTTCTTTGTAACGTTTTAAGAAGGAAATTGCATGATGTCGCTAATGGTGAAGGACTTGTTGGAATTCAACATGCTTTAAACAAACTAGTTCATATCGTCTAACTACATCTACAGACATGTAAAGCTCTGAATGGCCACATCTGAAGGCAGAGCAAAGAGCCTGACGTCATAGCCTCCTTTTGGCTACATCCCACAGCCTTTCCGACCTCTCTCCAAGGACTGTGGGTTTTGCATGTTTGTTGTCTCAACACAATTAATCCTACAAATGAGGATAAGGGAACATGCTTTCAAACTGTCTCTCCTCAAAAGCATTCATAGTTTTGCACTCAGTTAAAGGGTGGAATAAGTAGGAATGACAAAAGAGAGCTTGAGAGAAAAGATCGAAGCCTGCATATTTTCTCTCCTCAGCACACCTTGTCAATCACTCCATAAAGAGGATGTACCTTTCGGATTTTTGGTTTCAGAAAGTTACAACTGTTGAAATAAGGCCCCCCACCAGTTTTGATGTCAGAAATGTGTGAGGGGAGGGGGTTTCCAATGCCATTCAACGATCCAACAAGTTGTTGCACGCTGACTCTTGCAATCCCACGAAAGACTGTCAGAGTGCAGAGAGGTTGACCATTTGTAAGGCCAATAAGATCTAGCAATAAATCTTTAAATAAATCTGCCTTTATCCAACCTGGCCCAGATTCACCTATGGGGCCGGGTCCTTTTTTAGCCTTATCAGAGCAACGAAATGGGATGTAGCATATAGTAAATTAAACTTACGAAATCCTGAAGTACTGCAAATACATCTCTCTTCTCAACAAAAGCTGTAAGTGCATCTGCCGTCCAGTTCATTTAATATTGACGTGATGCTGGATTAAACAGAATCACTTCACAAAACAGCCAATGAGGTTGCGTTCCTTTGTATAGCCATGGTATCAAACCTACCCCATGTTAGATAGGTTGTGATTGGCCTGGCCAGAAACAGGATGGTCTTGATGGGAGGCCGGCTAGACGCATCTGCCAGAGCAAATAAAACATGAGTTGCAGATTTGTCTGGTTCCCAGGCTTGGCAGGTTCATGACGAAAATCCGAACCTAAAGAGAAATCAGCGCAGTCAAGCGGAAAACAAGGCTGTTTTTTCTGACAAGCAGACAGTTTGGAGATGCCAGTTTTCCACCCAGCAGCAGTCATATATTTTCAGTGTT